ACCAATTAGCCGTCTAGATTTAGAAATAATGGAGGAGGCATGTTCTTCAAAGTTCAGGCTTCCTGTGTAATTAATTCCTAAATCATGTACTGATTCGAGTGTTTGGACTCTACATTCATTTAAGTGGAGTTGCGGTTCATAGGGATGCTTTCCAAAGTGCATGATCCCGCACTTGTTGAGGTTAAATGGTAATTGCCATTTTTCACTCCATATAGTTAAGTTATTGAGGTCCTTTTGGATCTTGGATACACTTTCGCTTAGTGTCTCAGGCTTATAGCTGTATACTATTTTGAGATCATCAGCATATAAGTATGGTTTCCCAAATTCTATAGTGTTACATATATCGTTTATATACATAAGAAACAAAAGTGGACCTAATGCGCTTCCCTGGATGACTCCACTGGTGATTGGTCTAGGGGACGAGAGACAGTCATTGTACATTACCATCTGTTTACGTTCTGTTAAGAACGAAGCAAACCATGAGTACAGTGGGTTGTGTATTCCGAAGGACTTTAGTTTGACGAGTAGCCTTTTGTGTGGGACCTTATCAAAGGCTTTCTTAAAGTCTAGGAATAGGACTGATACAAGGAGTCCGCTGTCTCGTTTCAGAGTTATATCATTCAGGTAGTCTACTAGGCATGTATCGCATGATCTGGACCTAAGAAATCCATGCTGGGAGGTCGACAAGAGATTGTTAGTTAATAGATGTTGGACTACAGCCGCCTTAACTACTTTTTCCATCACTCTGGATACCACTGAAGTTATGTTTATAGGCCGGTAATTTTCAACGTTTGCTTCAGGTCCTGTTTTAATTTTGGGAATGATATGTGTTGTTTTCCAGGCAGTAGGGTAACACGCTGAAGAGAGTGATATCGCGAATAGTTTGAGAAGCAAAACACACATGCCATCACCTCCACGTTTTAGCATGCTAGATGGAATACCATCTGGTCCATCAGTGTAGGAGTGTTTCAATGTACTGATTGCTTTGGAGATATTTTGTACATTGAATTCTACATTAGTAATTTCGCAGGGAGGTACTGGGATTGGTTCGGAATCATTAAATGGTTTTTCGTTAGTCAGTGAGAAACAAGTGTTCACTAAATAATTCTGTAACAAGTTTGGGATCTTAGTATACATGTTTGCCTTCAATGAATATACTCCCTCTCAATTTAGAACGTTTAAGTTTACTTTGGAGGAGTATAGTGAGTGCAGAGGGGTTATTATTAAGTTCAACTGCACGTTTTTCCTGTGCGACTGCTTTTTGTGTACTTATTGCCCCTGTCCGGACAAGTATTTCTGTCATCGTTACTAAAGAGGAAAAGTCATTTAAGTTGTGGAATCGAGTACAATGTTTTTGAAGACGTCTTCTTGTACTGACCAGTATATAGAGATCTTTGGAGAACGTAGGTCTACAGTATTCTAAAGGTGTGATGTTGTTGATGATACTTTTGATGTTGTGATAAAACGTATTGGTTAGTGTGTCGGTATTGTTTGCAGTAAAGAAAGTTCTCCAATCAGTGCTTCTTAGGTAATTGTGGAAGTTATTCCAATCAACCTTGCGATAGTTCCTACGAAGTGTTACATCTTACTTCTACCGGTTGTGGTCTTTACATCAAGGCCGCATATGACAATGTTATGGTCACTACCTGGAAACGTTTTTCCAATACACAAAGTATTGGGGATGAGGCCACTGGTAAAGAATAAGTCCGAGATGTTTTGATGTCTGGTAGGGCTATTGACATATTGAGTCCATTGTCCAATCTCTAGACATTCAGTAAATGATTCATAACGCCTCGGAGCTTTGACTGGAAGCCAAGAAACTTCGGGCATGTTGAAGTCACCACAAATAAGCTTGCCTGTGAATGGAAGGGATGATGCTAGTGTGAATACCTCCAATAATACTGCTATTTCATCTATTGATGCGTTAGGTTGACGATAAACACAACCAAGCAGTAAGGTAAAGGAATTCGACGGCTTTAATACAATCCACACCGAATCCTTCAGTTTGTTTAGTTCAGGCATATCACATAGCAGTGAGTTTAAGCTAGAGTGAGTGTAAATAAGACATCCTCCGCCTCGTCTATTCAATCTATCACTTCTATATAGGAAATAGTTATCAAGAGATATACTTCGGTCGGAAATATTACTGTTTGTCCATGTTTCAGATATCATTATAAGTTATGGTTGATATATGGATACAAACAGGGCTAGACCCGCCTTTTTGTTGCAGATTGATCGAGCGTTGATAGGACATATATTAAGCAAGTGGCCTACTAAGTTAAGATGGGTGAGGGTATCTCGGATAAAGTCGTCGTAACCCTCGCAAGTGTGAGATGAGTTTGAAGTGAGGGATTGAATGCTCTTCATTAGCTCGGTATTTTGATAGCTAGACTTAGTGGGAGATGTATCAAATGAGCTAGGGAAGTTGATTGGGGAGTTTACCCAGGAGGAAAGGGTGGGAGTACTCTCTGATGGAAACTGTACGGACGAAATAAATTTATGGTTTGTATGTGGTTTGAAATAACTTGGGCTATATGCTTCAGCAGAGGTGTCACTAGGGGTCTTATTCCAAAAAAATCTTGTACAGGCCTATTGTGAAGTGTATGGTTATTTACAAAATAATCTTGATGGTTAGACTCGTAGCCTCTGTTGTGGCTATTCACGTTAGCGTGAGAGGGGTCTGCTGCGCGTAACTGGGAGGAGTTGCGACTGTTATTATACATAGGAGCCGTTTTAATGTGATGGGTGGGTACTAAAGGGTGTGGAAAGTTTTCTTTCTGAGAGTAATTACGGTTGTGATTCTGGGGAATGTAGATGAGGTGTGGTGTGTGAAACCTATTATTACCATTCTTATTAATGGTTTTAGGCTTCAGGGTGTGATTAGGGTGGCCAGTTCTCTGGTAGTTTTCGTTAGTCTTCGTGCAAGCCGGCTTGTTACACTGAAGCCCACCACCGATTTCGCAACTTAGAGGTGTTGAAGGAAAGTTATACGATAGCAGCGGGGAGAACCTGTTCACTGTTCTTGGGATACCTATAGAGCAGTTGGGTTCAATCTTACGTGTATCCCTATTCGGTATCATGAGTTTTGTCTTCACACCCTTTATTGTCAGAGCTAGAGTCTTTCGTTGTCTCTGTGAGATGAACTTAGGTTCATTCAAGTCTACTGGTGGGGTGTCTTTAGGAGGACAAATTTTCAAGTGTATAGGTTTAGTTGGATGTGTGTTGTCACACGACTCACACCTTAGTACATTACTAAGCGAACATCTGGAATTAGTCATGTTACTTTCTACCACTCATCATCCAACCTCAAAAACTTCTTGCAATACGGGTTTGATACTTCAGCATTTTTGTTTCTATCCCCTTGACCAATCTTAGTGTATCTGCCTTATATTCCATAAATTGGAACCGGTTTCGTATGCGTTAGGTGTGTAGCGGTAAATAAATCCCTAAAATAAATATCTCTGTAAGTTTTCGACAGTGGATTCTGACCAGATTAGTTTTAGTGGACTCACCTAGCTGAAGGCGCTCGGTCATGCATCCGCACTAGATCACGTGTGGTAACGCAATCGCTAGCCAGATTAGATCAGAGAATTCCGATATATTGGTTATTGCCAAATACACTCTTCCGATCTACTCGACTCTGTCTTTTGATATCTCTTGGTGGGTACGAATTATATTAGGTGTTGCTGGTAAAAGCGTTGTCAAACACTGAATACCTGTGCCATCTTCAGGTGCAATACACTGAACATATCTTCACTCATGCACCTAAGCCCGTCGTTATCTCAGAATGCGTACGGAAGGCCAAACCGTTAACGGTGTGGTGACATCTACTAAAATGTACAATGCGCACTAACTCAGTCTCATTATTATCTGTTTCCGGTCTGCAGCTTGGGAGCTATTTGACTATTTCATCTTCATCAACCAGGAGATCAGAATGACCAACATTACTGCTTATTACTGTCCAGACTTTTTAAAGAAAGGTTGTTGATATCCTAAGCAACACCGGTGATTAATTGATGCAACAAATGAGCGGTGGCGGGCTCAAGATAGCTCCTCACGGAACTATACCTTTAACCTATTTTTACCTTATTTACCTACTTCTATTGTATTTAACATATGAGGTTTCTTACCCAGTTTCATGTAATACCTGTTATTCAAAATCTGAGAAACCAATTAGTAATCCATGTGCAAAAAAACTTGGTAATTAGCATGTTGAAACTTATGGATACAGCCTAAATAGTCAAATAATCTTCTTGGGTCACCCTACAGACTTCTCTTACAATTAGTAGATTTGAGGATGACACAGGTATTCAATGTTTGACAACGCTTCTACCAGTAACACCTTCTAATATAATTCGTTCCCACCCAGAGAAATCAAAAGACAGAGTCGAGGAGATCGGAAGAGTGTATTTGGCAATAACCAATATATCGGAATTCTCTGATCTAATCTGGCTAGTGATTGCGGTTGATGTTGAGCACGGCGTTACCACACGTGATCTGGTGCTGATGCATGACCGAGCGCCTTCAGCTAGATGAATCCACTAAAGCATATGGTCAGAATCCAATGTCGAAAACTTACAGGGCTATTTATTTTAGGGATTTATTTACCGCTACAGATCGGTCTAAGAGAAACATCTATTCCTACATTCTGATTGGTGAATAATGGTTATCTTGAATTTCATAATGCAAGATGAGAAAAAAATGTCACAAAGGAACCAGAAAGATAAGTCGATGTTCACTTTAGATTATTTGACAACCTACAACAGACATTGTTAAAATGTAGGGGTAGTTTAAAGTATAACGTTGTAACACGTTTGTGACCCTGTTTGAAGGTCTAGTTTGGACTGTCTATTCTTCCCACACTCCTTTTGCACTACTACTAGTTGTTGTAAATTGCTTCGTCACGGAATGTAAGTATGCTTTCCAGCATATTGAGCTTCCCGTCATAGTTTACTCTTGTTTTTCCTGAAGTTCCTACACTTTACTAGGACTCTACAAAAATGGCTTCGGTTGATGGTGTCGACAAAAGTGAACTTAAGGTTTGTATAGACGATAATTTAGTATTTTTCCTCTATAGCAAGAGTCGGAAAAACTTCATGCCAAATACCCTAGTTTGATTAATAATGCATCATCGTTGCTACATCGACGGCTAAGTAAAAATGTAAGTATAAGTGGTCATTTAACAGTCAGTATAACTTTAAAATATTTTTGTAGACTCAAATCTAACTGAAAGTGTTGAAATGCAAGATTCTTATGTTTTCTTTAAGGCAGGTCATAATACTTACACAGTTAATAAGAGTAGATTATTTATTTAAGTGAGTGGGTTTCAGCCAAGTACAGGAAGTTTTACTCTTTTATCCTTATATGCCTGCCTGTACTAATATTTTAAGCAACTATACTTTGCCTGAGGTGTACGGCTTTTTATCGCAATATGTTATAGTACTGGACAGATTTAAGTATGCGGTGGATAATTTCGATAGGTGGATTCCTAACTTGACGTGAGTTAGAGTCACTTACAATAATTTTAGATTCTGGTTTCTACCTTAAATACAGGTGGTTAAATGACTTAGTTTTTGCCGGTTTGGGTTTGTTTGGCCTGTATTCTCTTGATTAACTCAAACAGGCACCACCTCTACTAGAAGATTCTAAGGCCTGGTTTCGTGATAGATAAAGCCTCACTGCACCGAGAACCAGATACTTATTGTCTTTGGAGTCAACTTGTGTGGGTTCTTTTTTACTTAGTTGAGAGAGAATATATCAGGTTCGAAATCACTAGGTCATGATTGAGTCATATTGATCTATGACAGCATAATGTTAGAAGATCTAACTTCGAAAACCACTTATCTGAAGGTAATGTAAGTTGCAGTTATTGGTGTTATGAACTTTGTACTAATCTCAAGTCAACTTCCAAACAGGGATTTGCACTCTGAGCAGTTGCTTAGTTTTGGCTTCGCCAGTTCTGTGTGATGTAATTTACATATTTTTTTTTATCAAACTCCATGAAAGTCTCTAATGTCCGTTGTGTTCTGCACATTTTAGTCGCGGCTCAATAGTAGTAAACCATTCTTTGAATCACAAATCTCTTATTCCGTAACCTTTTAGTTTTTTTCCATATCACTTGTTCTTTCTGATTACCCATTATTATCCACCCATTAATGCTAGTGTATATTTCCATTCCTTTGGTTTTCCTGTTGTTGGTTTTCGTTGAGTCCCATTGTAGTGTTTTATATTCATATGCAGGTTTTGAATCATGTTCTTAGCTTCTATCTCAAATTATTTATTCCTTATTTGATTTTGAAGTGCAATTTTCCCATAGTATTCGGACCGGTTCTAAGTGTCATCTTATGCTTACTACTTGAGTCTTCTTAATCAACACTTGCTGCGTTCCAGAGGTGTCTTCTATACCAAACAGTAAGTGTATGACATTGCTATTTCACTAACCGTCTCGGGTTCTTAATATACTTTTCTGATACTCCTAACTTTTGTTTCTACTTTTTACACTTGATTTTACTTTCAAAAAAGCTTCATGATTTTGTGTTCTGACGTGTTTTTCGGTTGTTAGATGAGTTGTCATTCTATTTCCATCACCTTAGTCTACATAATTAAAAATCGGTTATGGAATATTTTGAATTAATAGACGCTACATTAAGTGACGTATTTAAACGTATCTTATCATAAGTTGCGAAGACAAATAACTTCTAATTATTTGATAGTTTAGCATTCAGTTTTCTAAGATAAAGTTAGGCTTACGTTTATTTCTCTAACCCCAGTTAAATCTAGTATTTTGTTCATTTAGGTGAAATATTTCGATTCTGGCGACTATAACATGGCTAAGTCGAGGCCATTAGTAAAGGATTCCTTTCCCTCAGGCAATTTGGACTCTCCGACGGGGGATACTATTCCAACTGTAGACAATATATCTGTACTACGGAGTAAAAGTATTTCATTACAAAACAATACTACTGTATTACCACAATCAACAATAACATGTACAACACCAACAAGTAATTCAACTGCAACAACTACATGCCGTTATATAACTATACCAGCTCATACACAAGTTGCTAAATAATCGTTTATAAATTTACATCCCGATTGTTAATATCTCATCGTTCCATATTTGATTAAACTTGGTTACGTAGTCTTTCATATGATTGATAACGAGAATTTTGATATTTATAACCACGCTAAAGGATTATGCTGTTGACAATAATGACTATTAATAATGCAATTCTCTTCCATGTATAATTCAGCTTCCATAATATGCTTTACAAATTATTTTTGCATTCGTAATATACTTGAATTTTTAAAACTTGTGGTACTAGATAGTTATTTTATATTTTAATCGAATCGTCTTGTTTACATGTAATTGATGTAATGAAATTGACACTTTTATAATAGATTTCCATCAACGTCGTTGCGGATATGGAAAGTTTATGATTTGCAATGACGAGCGATTAGGGGTTGTGCAATGTGTAAAAGTAATACTGATTGATGGATGGAATGAAATAATAAAATCTAGCGAAGTGATAGGTACTCACAAGATCGAGTTATCAGCACAACCCCCCTTGATGAACTTAGGTCACAGACAAGGTCACTTGCCAAAAAGGTAGTTTCCTGTCTAATAAGATAATATGCTTGTAACAACAATAAATATGACTAGATGTTCTAAGCTATTAGAGGATATCGGTTTAGTGGGTCACTGGTTATCCAGCGAATTGAGGCTTTATTGTTAGATTTAGTTCCAGCTCGTCATATCACTGTAGTAAACTTCCGTCTCAGTGTGATGGTTTAGTTTTTGCTGCTGGTGAGAATTAAACTATCTTAAGCTGACAGTTTGTAGATTTTAGTAATTTGAATTTAACTGACATTTAGGGGCGAGAAAGCATGGGTCAGTTGTTTTGTTTAATTTTGAGACTACTTAACAGTAAACTTCCTCTTATATTTTGAGTTTAAAAGTTCTTTGTTCATAAAACTGCCAAGTCGAAATCCGAAGACTGAGTGCTAAATTTAATGTTCTTGAACATTGGTTCGCATATAACGTTAGCGATATTGTTTGCTTAACATCTGAAGTAAACATATCACTCCTTTTTATCGAAAGTAATGTTCCATCAGAGAAGATTTACAAGATTCTCTTGTCGATAAGAATGTCATGTCCAGATATATGCAGGTGAGTTGTAAAGTTTTAGGCTACTATTACGTTTATTGGCAGTGTTGATCTCATATGTCTAATAAGAAAATGGAGTTAATTTAAAAATTTTCGTTTATTTACATGATACAATTCGACCAGTTTGGTAAGACATTCAATTGTCAAATCACTAAGTACAAAGTGCATAGAATGTGCAAGGAGAGTCAAACCAAGGCAGGACGAGACACGACGTATTATATTTGGACAAGTCTTTGTAGTGTTGATCGGAACTGGTTATTTGTACCAGAGCCGATTAGGCAATTCATGATTGAAAACACGATTTTTATTCTTTGCAGCGACTTTCTCGTCTGAGCATACTTTGATTACATGTGTAGGGTTAACAATATTTTGTGGTTGTTCCTTGCTTAGAAAAGATGAAAACACTCAGGATTCTGAAAATCAGTCATCAGATAATGCGGTCGGTGAATTGTAGACAAAATTTATTTCTCAGTAAAGTGTTCCTCACTAGAGTAGTTTCGAAAACAACCACATACATGAGTCTAGGACTTTAAAGTTTATCTGCATCATCTCATAACTCAGCAACTGCCTTCGGTTGCCATCATTTTTACTCATGAACTCCATTTTAAATTCTGTTGTGCAAGTAATTTCATTTACCTCGTAGAATTCGTTTACTAAAAGGGTATTCTAAACGCTCAAGGTGGATTAGTAGTTGAAGCACTTGTCTCTCATCCAATGGATAGTTACTTAGAACCGCACCAATCGTGCTAGTATAATCAACCAGATAGTGATTCATTATCCCTCTAATAAATTGTCATTCAGAAGTGGGTATGCAACTTGTACGGGTTACCAATATAAGTTAACATTACCGTATTTCTATAAGCCTTATACATTCATCTAAATTTTGTAGGTAGTGTCGTTCTCAGAACTTGTGTTGAATACTTTTGCGATCCAAATTATGTAAACTTGATATCAAGTCAAGTGTTTTCAGTGTATTGGTTAGTACCACATTTCATATTGGTTTAAGATCGAAACACACTAGTCCTTTGCTGCAGTTCTGATACAGAACGATAAAGTTAATGACACAAACATCAACTGGCATCATTGTGTTCTTATTTTTGTTAATTAGTAAATGTAACAATTGAGTATTGTTTTTAAGCACGTTTTAACTAGTACTTATAATTGTTAGGTAATTTCGTCTGAACTGGTGAGGTTATGGTCTATCTGTTATAGGATTCGACATCTAATCATAGTTTCCAGTCTGGCTTCAGCAACCAGGCAGTGTATCACTACCTCTTATATCAAAATTATGGCTTAAGGGGAGCTATACAGAGATATACTTAGTGATCGAGTTGTATGAATCAGTTACTTGATAGTTTACAGCAGGTATTATTGACGTAAATAAGGTTTGTTGGTCTAAAACCCATCTTATATCTTTTCTTATCAAATCCAATATCTGATGATTTCTGATAAATCTTGAACTTTTTATAACTTTCTATTATGAATTATTTTCATTGTAGTACCCTAAAATTGAAGAGTTGGTTACTAGACGGTGACCATGTCATTCAAACTTTTATTTATTTACAGGTTTCAATTTAGAATTATCAGTTGCTACTACATAGTGCAGCCTTCTCAGCAACTATCCGAACATTAATTTCAAATGACTTTTGTTATCATTCATGTGAACCTCACTAATGCATGAACAAGTCAATAAAAAATAAGTCATTTTCTTTCTGTGACCAGTATTTATTTATTTGTTTGAAGTAATTAATTTTAATTGGTTATGAATGCACGTTTTATTTAAAACAGAAGTAGTTCCCGTGTTTCACTTGACGGTTTTTTGTCAACTATTTTTAGTCACGATTGCTTCAATATTATTAGACAACATAAACCAGTAATTCTGAATATTCAGTAGTTCACATAATACTTGTTTAACCCTAGATAGATTCAATATTGTCAACATTTTGGTGATAATAATCAAAAATTAGAAAATATCAAGTCAATTACAAAGGTTATAGTAAAGATATACAGAATTTTAACATAATTTAAACAACCAACTAGCGGTTGTAAGTTTTCTAAATTATTCATTTTTTTCCCTTTTTATAAATTCTTACAGGGATTGAATCGAGACTTTTAGATGTTCAACGACGTTTCTTTGTGTAAATTTATATACATATCGATAAGTTTTATGACCCATGAAGTTAACCAAATTTTAAATGAATCATTAACTCATTGATAGATTATATTGGATTTCATGTTACTTACTGAGAGAATCGGGGATCTTGTAGTTCGATTTCATATGCAATTGTGAGTGTTCACCTGTTGGGGTTTTCAAATTAAGATTAAATAACTCGTGGATTCACCACAGTTTTCAGTATGTTATAAATTCGTGACAAAAATATTTGAAAATGAGTAGAACAATGTGTATCCGAGACTCGTTTTGCCACTCATTGATCTGTTATATTGGATCTAATGAGAAATATATTTATATCTTGGCATGCAATTTAGATTTTAAAAAAATTAATACTTAAGTAGAAACTAATTTATCAGTCTAAAAGAGTTATATTAATCAAAACGATCATCTTCAAGATTGTTAAAGATTGATTAGTTTGTTTACATAATCTGCTTATATCCCGACCGTTGTTGCTACCTTGACGTGGTGGTCGGGCTTGCCTATCGTGATGAAGCAACCGAGCTATACTGACTGGAACAACCGTTCCTCAAGGTCCTACCATGTCAGACAGGTCGGTTGAAGAGCGGTAAGACTAAAAGCAACAAACCCAAGGTCCGAAGGCGAAGTCGTACTGCTGACTGTACAGAGGTGTGACAGCAGTAAGGTGTTTCCTTCAGACAACCAGCATGACAGCGATGCTGCCTTCCCACAAGGAGGGGTGGGGTTAGAAAAGGTCGACCCTAAAAATGCACACCTCACCTTACCTCACGGATTTCCGTCTCCGGCGGTAAGGCCCTTTGAAGAACGGAGCTAACGTCGAAAACCTTCCACGAAAAGACCGTGCGCGACCGGCCTCAAGCAGTTGTCCCTTGGGCACTGCGGTCACGCTCTCAGGTCACTGAGACCACCTCTAATCCAATTTCCTTTTCAGGTACCTCCAGAAGAACCCTTCCACGGTGTGGGCAACCGGGAAGTGATAACCGCCCTCATACCTCTAACAGCACCCAAGACCACTGTATTCATAATCAACCTTCCTCTACAATCTGCTTATATTATCTATATATGAGTAGAAAATTGAAAAATAATCATATTTAACGATCATTAGACGATTTCAAAAGATTGTAGTGGTAAATTATATCGATTATCAAACATTATTTCACCATTATGCTAGCTAACATGATCTGTTAACTAATACATAGCTTATTGTTAAATAAAATAAGGTTGTGTAGGATATATTATCATGAAACTTGTACTTTATGCGTCTATATATATATTGACTCTGATCATGCCCTTGTTTGCGCTAATCTTACCTTATTTTTCAGTGGCCAACACATTCGTTGTTCTAAACGAATCGACGTCTGTAAATTGGTTTCAGCTTCTGTTGCAACTAAATATCAAACGGAGCTAAGTTGAAGGCTAGATACCATCCCACCGAGAAATGTAGATGAGCATTGTTTGCAATTGCATGACGCCTTGAGAATGGCGAACAAAGTCGCTTGCGGCTTCGCGAGACGTTTCGCTTACAAGAACTGGGTTCCTAAAGACACCTTACAACTCATTGAAGCCCGTCGGTCTACTTCACGTGACCACGAGTCTGACCACAAACGACGACTGTTACGTCGTGAAATTGGGCAAGGCTTGCGTAGGGACCGATAAGCCTGGTGGTCGGTGCCTACCACTGAGTTGTAAGCAGCAGCTGCATCTGATAACTGCCAGAAGCTCTTCCAACTCATCCGAGCCACTGGCAGCAAGA